CTGCTGAACAGGGATGGGTTGTAAGTGTTGGTATTTGTATAGAGCAATTGACAGCAATTAAATATTTGTCTACAACTTTGCAGTGTTAGACAAATGCTGCCCTTCATATGTCACAGCAAGGTGGAACGTGTTCAGGTTTGGAGGTGGTGTGCACCAAACTGAAGAGTTGGGGAAAGTCAAGAGAAAGGAGAGAAGGATCCGGAATGAATCTGAACTCTTTTATGAACTCAGTTAATGTGATGTGTCTTAAAAGATTGACCTGTAGAAGCAGCAATCGCTTATGTGGCCAGCATCAAGTTGCCTCTGATGACCTCATTTTAGCTGTTTAGGACCTGCCTCTGTAGGATTTTTGTTTTCTTCTTTTCTTCTTTTTTTTTTTTTTTTCTTGGAACCAGGGAATTCTTACTGCAGAATGTGTATTAATCCTGGGGAGCATATGGTGGGAGAATGTCAATGAGGAGGGAGCAGAATCTGAGAGACTGTAAATAACTACTCCTCTCTTAACTGGTGTGTTGGGCCCTGCTGAATACCAAAGGGGGAGACCTTGCAAAATAGAATCTTTCATGCACCAGCAGGAGAGGGGTGATTCTTAAAGCATTTTTGTAAATTATTTTAAACAGTGGTTGGGGTTTATGGCAGATGAAGCAAGAAAGAGCAATGTTCTTTGGTTCAGGGGAGATAAGTGAATGTGGGTTTCATGTATTTCTAGTGAGTTTTTAGAGAATAAATTTTTAAGCATTGATTTCAAGCTTTTGCTGTGTCAGTGGAAAAGGGATGCAGTTCTGAAGTGTTCTGCTGGAGACTTTATACCACAAGGGAAACTTTAACCCAACTCCTACGGCACAATAATTTATGCCAGCATGAATTTGCTGCAGACTTCATTTACTGAATGTTTTATAGCATACACTTTAATTCCAGCTAACTGTTGTTAGGACTGATTGGTTCTCCTATTAATCCTGACCAAACATTACTTTTTCCTCTTAAGATCTGTGTTTGAAACACAATTAACTCGGATACAGCTAACGAAGTTATAAAACCTGTCTCCTTTGTTGTTGTAGGGATGAGAGTAAAATCACAGCTGGTACTAGGATGTGTTGTCAGGTTTTGATTTTCTACCCATAACTTCATTGTTTCAAATTAATTTTTTAATTTCTCCATTTTAAATAGTGAAACCTAATGAATAATTTCCAGCCTGTTTATTTATGACATTATTGTGATTTTTGTTTTTATTACAGTACTAAAGACTAATGAAAAAGGATCCTCTTATTAGGTGGAGTAGACCTTGCATTTATTTTTTTTTTCCTGCAATGTATGAAGTATTGTACCAGAGTATTAAATGAAATGTAATATTTTATTGAGAAAATTTCTATCCTTTAAAAGGAATACATTTAGGATGTCATCAATTTGATGTGAATCATGTAAATGTTGACAATGCGCTGTTTATGATACATCTAGTGTTTCAAAAGACTCACTTATTGCCTTTTGCCCACGTACATTCTGTAGACCATTTACAATTGTCAAAATATGACATTAAAATAATAGTTCCTGTATAGAAATATTGGTGGTTGTCCATTGTTTTCTGTGCTGGTATTTATGGGTCTTAGCTCAGCTGCTCTTCTAGCTGCATTGTGATTTTTTTTATTGCTGCGAAGCTCTCTTATCAGAAATAAAAGCATATCTGTAAACTTCAGAACTACAAAAAAAGAAAGGGGGGGGGAGAATTAAAAAAGAAATAAAATGGTTTTCTTAAGATGGTTTGTCATTACTGTGTTCTCCAGCTTGCACTCAGAGGAGATAGTGTTGTATCTAATCTTCCACTCTAGAGCAGAGTGTTTCCGCGCTGTTCTTCTGAGCCCCCTGCGGGATGCGATGCTGTTGAAGAGAGCAGCTGTCCTTCCTGAGAGCCAGTGGAGCAAAACTCCTATTAAATAGGATGTACACGAGCTTTTATCAATGTGTTCCTACCATCTGCTGCCAGCTGGCTGCCCCATGGGAGGTTCTCTGTCCTGTCCAGGTACTACTTCTCCCTCGGTGGCCCTTGGCCTGGGAGCCCTGTGCTTGTGCTCCTGCAGAGCCCAGGTGTCTTGGCTGCCCCTTGCTTTCTCTTCCCCACTCTACCTTCAAATAAGTGATCTTCATCCTTCCTGATTTTCCACCTTGGTGTGGAACATGCTCAAAACTGGCTTGGGGAGAATTAGCCTCTATTTTTGCTGTTGTATAATCAGTCATTTTTAATTGGGGGAAAGGAAGGACAATCCTGTTATTTCTCCGTCCACATCAAGCTTAGCTGCAACCCTAAGTCTGGAGTGAGGGGGAAAGAAGCTGTTGCTCCTGCTGCTCTTTCCTTCCAGATCTTTCATCTCTTGCACCATTTGTCTTTGGGGCTCTGTTGTTTCCTGAGATCTTCTTATGCCAGCACCACACAGTGACTCAGAAGTGGGGCTGGTGCTTTGAAAGGAGCTGTATTGCACCCCAAGCTCCTTTCTGCCAGCTGCTGCTACCATTCTTCAAAAGCTATCAGAATCTCTGGCACTCTGCAGCACTTGGAACTAGACACTTCCAAAAATGTGATGTCCTACCTGTTCTCTAGCCTGGAGCAGAAGAGTGAACATGTGCCCATTCATGTTGCATATCCGTCTGATTTTGGGCCCACCGATACTCCTTTTCTTCCTTAAAACCATTGGGAATGTTCCCGGTAGGCAAGTCATCACTGTTACGGATTATGAGCCAGCCTGAGCTTGGCTTCACTAAAACCTGAAGGGGTTTAAATTCAAGAAAAGGTTCCTCTAAGCATTAGTTCCCCCTTGATGATGTTTGGACCCAAGTGGTAAAAATGCACCTGAGCCACCCTGGAACACGTTAGGAGATAAATGGCGTGGGTTGTACCACAGCCGACGAGCTGCGCCGCTGAACGCAGAACAAATACCAGCTGAATCTGTAGTAAAACAGGCTTAATCTCGAGGCGATGGCAAAGCACAGAGATAATCTTCTGAAATGCCAGGAGGGAGGCAAAGCCCTGCGGCTGAGGGCTCTGTGGATCCATGTATGAGCTGAATCCCAGTGAGGACAGTAGCTGTGTAGAGCAGCTCGGGGTTAAGGCGATTACCCTGCAGAGTAAGATCTTTCTGTTTACGAATGCACCTAAACAGTCTGTGGAGAGCAGTGGGTTTATAATCCATTTCGGGGCTGGGAGGGAGCGACTGGTCCAAACCAAGAACTTTGACAAAGATTAGAGTGAGGTGGTGACACCTACAGCCCCTCCTGCTTCCTCCCAGGCTGCTTCGGTGCCTTTCTGCTTGCCCTGTGTAGGTGAGTATGAGCAGGATTTA